CAATTAATCACTAGAAAACTGGAAGTGGTGCTGTGGCTCAAGTGGTAGAGTGCTCACTTTAAACAAAAGTAGCTCAGGGACAGCACCTAGGCCCTGAGTCCAAGCCCAAGATTGGAGGGGGTGGGGTGAAGGGGGGGGGAGATTGATGTGAAATGTGAAAGGCTTGGACAAGACCCTTCTAGACTTTTACTTAAGGCTAGCACTGTACTATTTTGAGCCACAGCACTATGTCTGGTCTTTGAGGGGTTAATAGGAGATAAAAGTCTTACAGAGACTTTTCTGCCAGACTAGCTTCAAGCTACCATCATCAGATCTCAGCCTCCTGAGTAGCTAGGATTACAGGCATGAGCCACTAGCAGCCGGCTGTCTTTCAGCTTTTTATGCTCAAGGCCAGTACTCTACCAGTGAGCTACACGCTCCATTACTAGCTTTATGGTAGTTAACTATGGTAGTTAACTTCAAACTATGATCATCAGATCTCAGCCACTTAAGTAGCTAGGATTACAGACATGAGCCACTCAGCTAGTGCAACCTGCCAGTTACACTTACCGCACAGCACCAGTTGCTACGAGCTGGAGAATCTTCCTCTTAGAAACAACAGCATAGTGGAGGTTGAGGCGGCCATACTCCCACTGAACAGGGCAATAGACGGCCAGTGCATTACATAGCCAGAAGTAGGAAGATCGTCTAGGGTGGTTGGAAGAGGAGAGCTAGAACTGACCACCTCTGAGACCAGAGAAGAGACTGTAGGAAGGGCTGCTGGAATTGCATTGGCCCTACCCACATCCCATGGTCCCAGCAAACTCACCGGGCCTGGAATTCCTTGGTGCAGAGTGAGTGGGTGATGTGTTCAATGGAGTCACAGAGGCAGTGTGTGTAGTCGTAAGTGGGGTAGATGCACCTGTGGGGTACAGGCGGTGGGCCCTACAATCTAACTCCTCTGCCCTAACTCATGGCCCACCACCACCAGCTCCACTGCTCCATTGATCCCACGCCTTTGCCCATACCCACCATTTGTCCCCTGTGCGGTGATGGGGGGTATATTTGACTCGATAGGCTACAGGATCCATCTTGCCATCCTCCATCACCAGCTTCATCCGAAGTGTGGCCTCCCCCTCGGAAAACTTGCCCTTGCGCATGGCCTGAGGGTAGCAAGGGCTCAGGCTGCCTCTAACCACAAGGGGAACCTCATGCCTAGTAAAGCCCACCCGAACCCAGCTGACCCTTCCAGGATCCCACCTCAAAGAGCAGCAGTGATTCCTCAATGGGTCTGTCCCTCCAGGGGGAAGGAAGAGGGTTATGACCTTTGAGTTCTTCCCCTCGCTGATGACACACGTAAGCCTGACCCCTGTGGAGACAAGAGTTGTCATCAGTGCTCAGGCTGTCCCTGACCTGCAGCTTGTTTGGATCAACATTATTATGACTCTGATCTTACCTGTGAATGAGCTCCACAGCCCAGGCATACAGCTGATCAAAATAGTCAGAAGCATACGTCACTTTGTAAGGGGTGTACCCTGGGACCGTATGACACACACAGTGTAAACAATCAGCAACAAAGCACTCAATGGCAAGGCTATCAGCCAAGGAGAGGCACTGATCACCAGGCCCTGCCCAGGCATCATCTAGTTCTTACCCAGCCAGGCTACCATGTCAGAGATAGCAGTGAAGAACTTTGCTTCTTCCTTCTCAGGGTTGGTGTCATCAAAGCGCAGAAAACAGATACCATTGTTAGCCTAGGAGAGTTGGAATTATCTGTGAGTTCCTACATAGCCATCAGCCCCTACAGTCTAGCTCATTGAAGCTCTCTTGTGTCAGAATTAAACATGCTTTCATTTATTATTTTTTTGATCCCCAGCACCAAATAGTTTTTTGTTGGTCGTAGGGCTTGAACTCTGAGCCTGGGCGCTATCCCTCAGCTCTTCAGCTCAAGACTAGCACTCCACCACTTAAATTACAACGGCCACTTCCAGCCTTTTCTGTTTATGTGGTGCTGAGGAATCCAACACAGGGCTTCATGCATGTAAGGCAAACATTCTACCACTGAGCTACCTTCCCAGCCCCCCAGTTGTTGTTGTTTTTTAACTTTTTTTTATTATAAAGGTGATAGAGCCAGGGGCCAGTGGCTCAGGCCTGTAATCCTAGCTATTCAGGAGGCTGAGATCTGAGGATCCA